TATTTCACTGATTAATCCATTTCAATTTGCCTTCTGATTTCTCTGCTTTAGTGAGACTGTCTTCTTTATGATCACTAAGATTTCCTTCTGGGAAAATCCAATGGTTTCTTTTCAATTTCCCCTTGTTTTTTGTCCTATCTGCCTCATCTGGCACTGTTGGAGATACAATATAACCTAAAGAGAGAGAGTAGAAATTACTCTGTTTTTAAAGGAGTTAATGCCTACATTTATTGGAAGTGATAGTTACTTTGAAACTGCAGAAGTGTGAATTTTAAGAATATCAGGAAGGACATAAGTAAACCAGTTATCTCACATGTGTCAAACACAAGGCCCTCGGGCCAAATCCGTCCCGCCAGGCCTTGCAATGTGGCCCGCACCGCGCTGTCATCACTGCACTCCGCTGCGTTTCCATCACAATGACAGTTTATGACTGTTCAGCGATTTAGGCTGGATTTTAGATTTTGGCCCCTTCTCTGATTGAGTTCGACACCCCTAAATTATCTAAAGGCAACATAAGGAATAAGGAATGATAGCAATACCTTTACTATCAATGGCCTGGCAGACTATCAGGGAAGCAAAGGGTAAAAATGAAGCTGTGAATGAGAATACTGAGGAGCAGGGCAGGGCGGGGCCAGCTCCCAACTCCATTTTGTGTAACTGGACCCTAGCCCTAACTCAACCAATCAGGTCAGCCAAGGTAGTGGCACCACACCCCTATAAAACCCGTTGATATGTTTAATTGTTTCTCTCTCCCGCCATACCATGGCTGGTGTAAGTGGGACCAAGCTTGGACTAGTTCGAAATAAATACAGGCTTTCTGCAATTGCATCGGATTCAGTTCCCTGGTAGTTTTTGGGGTTTATGACACTTGGGCACAACAAATACAATATAAGAAAATGACTTTATACAAATTTACTTCTGTAACACAGCCTATAAACACAACATTAGGACCTATGAGGATAAAGACAAAACAGAATGAAGATTTTAGCCCTTGTGGAGTGGAGCTTATGAGTTAATTGCCAGGAGATACTATACTAATTATAATAGAAATTTATTTTTTTAATAATCATTTCTTTTTTAAAATATATTTTATTGATTTTTCACAGAGAGGAAGAGAGAGGGATACAGAGTTAAAAACATCGATGAGAGAGAATCATCGATCAGCTGCCTCTTGCACACCTCCTACTGGGGATGTGCCCGCAACCAAGGTACATGCTCTCAACCGGAATCCAACCGGGACCTTTCAGCACTGAGCCAAACCAGTTTCGGCAAGAATTTTTTTTTTTTTTAACATGGCTGTAAACTCTTGCTAGAAACAGTCAGTTTGGTAGAAATTTGGCACGTTTTGAAAAAGGAGATGGATACAAAAGAAAGTCTGATAAAAGAGGATGGCAAGAGTAAATGTGTCTTCAGACCACCTACTTCTTCACTTTCAAGCTTCTGTGGGTTGAACTTCAGTGCTGAACATTATTGTACATCCTTGTTTTTCAAAAGTTTCTTTGGATAACATAACTGGCAATTTAGGCTAAGCAATGGAAGTAGCAGAAAATAGCAAAAAGAATATTTGGACAAAAATTGAACTAAGCTTAAATCATAACTCATCCATTTTAAATTTGGATGAATCAGGAAAATTTGGTTTACATTTGGTGAGACTTGGTTTTCTCTTCTGTAAAATAAGGAGAGTTTCTTATTTATTTTACCTATTGGCAAGGCAATATTAATCAGAATATTTCTAAGAAAGAACACATTTTCTATTTTCTAAATTTCTGGAATCTTTGTATTCTTTACATAAATACATAAATAAGAGATGGTTTTACTTTTTATTCATTTGCAGTGCAGAAGAGTGTTACACAGCCAACCTTATTTCCAGGTTGCTGAAAGAGACCCTCAATATGCACATCCATCCAACCACAGCTCAGCTGATGGAAATGAACTACTTAACATATCTAATTACATGGACCTCACAATCTCATTATTCACATGAAATGCTGTTTCTACTGTGCAGATTGAATATTGAGCCAAAGAATAGATCATTGACAGGTAATTGGATAATGTTTGAGCAGGAATGTATTTATTTCCAAGCATTTTAAATATTATATTTCCCACCCTCATCCCACTTTAGTGGCATAAATTGTATATTTGCTCCAAGTGTAAATACATGTATTTGGGGGCAGAACTATAGAGAGAAGTTAAAAATCATAACTCCTTGCTTCACCTGGATCCTAATCGTGTTCCTTCATACCTCAATAAGCTGACCTCTGAGGTTGTAAGGGAGAATGGAAACAAACAAACAAAACAAACACATAAAAAAGAGAGGGAAGAGGAGAAGACAGTCAGAATATAATACATGAAAGGAACAAGAATGAAGACAGGAGGGAGAGTAGGGAAGTTTCTGGTGTTGGGTACACTGGTTCAGGAGTAAATAGATTAGGATTTAAGCATGTGTAAACTGACTAGGGTCTACTATACTTCTTTCCCTATTTAAAGTACTGAACTTGAAGCCAAAAGCTTTTGTTGAAACTTTAATACTAGAATGCATTGTCACATTTGATAGTATACTGATTGATGGAGAACAATGTTTTATATAAGGGATTTAATCTTGTCGGAAGGTAAGAACTACTAAAATAAATTATGCAGGATATATATAAAGTAAAGCTACTATGAAAAATGTGTTTTTTAGGATATAAAACATCTTAAATGTTTCTTATAATATAAAACAAATTAATATACTAATTCACAATATGCTCTTTAAATCTGCATGTTTACATCTCTAGGAAATAATTATTGAATGAAAGCAGTTTTAAAATACCAAAGCTGTAATAAGGAAAGTCAGAATGGCTATCATAAACAAATCAACAAACAATATGTGTTTGTTGTGTAGAAAAAGGAATATCCTAGTACACTGCTGTTGAGAATGCAGACTGGTTTAGCCACTGTGGAAAACAGTATGAAGTTTCTTCAAAAAATTAAAAATAGTAGTACCATTTGACCCAGTGATCACACTTCTAGGAATATAGCTTAAGAAACCCAAAACATCCCTACATTCATAGCAGCACAATTTACAAGAGCTAAGATTTAAAAACAGCCCAAATGCCCACCAGCAGATGAGTGGATAAAAAAGCTGTGATATATTTACACAATGGAATATTATACAGTGGTAAAAAGGGAGGAAATTTTACCACTTGCAACAGCATGGATGGACCGGAGAGCATTATGCTAAGTGAAATAAGCCAGATAAGTATCACATGATCTCACACATATGTGGAATCTAATCAACAAATAAAACTAATGCATAAAATAGATCCAGAGACAGAACCATGGTAAAGACAGATGCATTTCATAAGGAAGGTGGGGTGGGTAGTGGGTGGAAATCAGGAAACTTATATGCATTCTAGAGGCCTGGTGCATGAAAATATGTGCCCTGGGAGGGAGAGTTCCTCAGTATGGCCTATGCCTTCTTGCAGTCTGGAACCCTTGGGGGATATCCACCTCCTGGCATAGGCTTGCTCCCCAGGGAATTGGGCCTAAGCTGGCAGCCAGCCATCCCTCTGGCAGCCCAGGAGCCCATTAGCCGAACATCCTTAGAACTATTGTGAAGGTGGGAGAGGCTCTCGCCACCACCAGTACCCTGACCAGCCATGCGCTGGATTCTGGCAGAGTGCCAGTCCCATTGTGAAAGTGTACTGACCACCAGGGGCAGTTCCTGCATGAGTGTCTGCCTCCAGTGGTTAGTACACATCATAGCAACTGGTTGTCCCAGCTCCTTTTGCCCTTATGTCAATTTGCATATTACCCATTTATTATATAGGATATGCATATTATATATATATATTATAGTATGAAGGGGTGAAGGCCTTGGAGGGGCAGGTGCCTGGTGGAGAGTGTCAATGGGAAAAAAGAGGAAAGGAACATCTGTAATACTATCAACAATAAATATTAAAATAAGAAAGTGTGAATATGCTTAATGTGTTAAAAAGTACAATATCATACAATTGAAAATGTTGACATTTCAAACTTCTGCCTTAAAACTCTTAGGAAACTTTCTCATGACTACAATGTAATTTACACTTAAATAACAAATATTTTTAGAAACACAATTGTAATTATTTTACTTTGCACAAACAGTAAAATATTTTGTAATTATCAATATTTTGATTTGCACAAAAGGTTTCCCATATAGTTGTAAACGAAGAACAATTAAATCTCTCTTCTTAAGATTTTAACCAAAATTTAACTCAATTGAAAGTTTTAAGAAATTAAATAAATTACAATACTTATCTCTACACATAGAGTGTTGCTATATTAAAATAATCAAATATATTTCAAATAATCTTTGAATAATTTTTATTTGGATAATCTATACTGATTTTATTTTTGTAGAAATAGTAGACTTCCAAAGTTTCTATTTAAAAACGTGAATGTTAAGAAGTATAATTTTAGAGTTGAAGGGATGTTAGGATTCATGTATTCTAATAATGAAATAGTTTACAATTGAAAATGTTGAGTTTATGACCCCTTTCATTCACCTTCCCTCCAAGTATTATCACATTCATAAATTATGTGTTGTGTACTGCTACATAAAAAATGGAGAGTTGATTTCTCTTATTAAGAAAATGCTTCCTCAACTAACTTTAAAACTTATTTTGATGATGCTTCAATATTTTCAAAATTTTTCATGTGAGGACTAAGCTTAGCAATATGCAATTGTTATCAATCTGATGATGTGAACAGTGACTGATTAAGCCTACATTTCTTTCAGGTTGAAATATCTTCCCCGGGTGAAAAAAATCACAGCTGGAAACCTTCCCAGAAACTTCACTAGATGACAAAGAAAAAGACCACAGACACTTAATGAAGATGTGATTGTGGTGAGGGGTTCTGGTCTAGAGACCACTTTGCCCACCAAGAAAAGACAAAAGTAGGTTTCTATAGTTTAAGTCTGCAATCAAAGCAGAATAGAAGAAAAAGTGAAAAGCGTTGTTACTCATTAAATCACTTACAATGGTTTTCCTTTGGATTCACAAGTCAAAATCAAAGGCTGTCCTTCTTGAGGAAAAGGAGTGGATGGTATAATCTTAACTGATGGTGTATCTAGGAAAAAAAAATGAAAAGGTCATTAAATATGTAAAACTATGCATTTAGAAATTGTACATCATGCTGCATGTCCATGCACTTTGTTACTAGTACAATGGTGTCTTTTTTAAAAAGGGATTTCTTAGATTGGGTGAAATGAAATATGTAATTTTAAGAAGCTATTATCCTGTCCATGAAAAGCTAACAAAAATATCTGAATATCTCATGAGTACCACTGCTGTATTATTTCTGAAATCTAAATTTAAAAGTGAAATAGCAAAAACTGGTTCAGATGAATATCAAGCATTTCATCCAATTGTTTTGTCCACTATTTATAGATGAGTAGAAATACCATTATTATGGACTGAACACATTTATGTGCATTTGAATAACAGCCCATTCATTGTTGCAGGAATACCAGAGTTATAACAAGGAAACCAAAATGAACTCAAGATCAACTACTGTCTCACAGCATTATGCAGAATCTTTTTGAAAATGCAGTAATCCAGTATTCAGTACATGTTGGTTGGTCTAAAGTACAGTTAGCAAGTCATTTGACAGAGTTAGTAAGATTATTACTAAAAGTTAACATTTTATTGCTAAAATATAATTATTATAAAATTATTTATTTCCATTAGGCAATAAAATCATCTCTAGTGAAAAAAATATTCAAGAATACTTTGTGTTTAATAAACACAAAGATACATAGTTCATGGAAGAAATGGAAAATAAGCTAAAGAAAGGAGACCATGAAACTCTTTCATTTCTTTCTGTGAGGTTGCTAAGTCCTGGCCTTGTGTCTCCCACAGTCAACATGGAATTGCCTTCTCCTCTTGTCTCCACAATAAACAGTATAGGCTCTGAGCATTCCTGATAGTCAAAAATTATTCTCCGGTTGATCTATCTCCCCCAGATCTCCCTCCCCTCCACATGCATATAAATACAACCAATAGACAAAAACTCTGTTTGTATGGGGGGGGGGGCAATGGTAAAATATGTACACAGATAATAATTTAATAAAAAAAATTATTCTCATCATTTCCTTAGTTGTGATGGAAGAAAAGAACTGCCCTGTAGCTATACACATTCTATGACTTTGAAGCTAATTAAATAAGTATCAATCAAGTGTATAAACTTTAGATTAAAATCTTATTTCAGGAAAATGATCAGATTTGACACAGACAAAACAATGAAGCCTGGTCCTGTGAAAGACTGTACACTTATAAATTATTTGTACTTTTGAAACTCATTCTTCCTCAGTCATTTAAAAAAGAAAAAACATTTAAGGTAATCAATGATAATACCCAGGTTACAAACAGGCATTCCATATACATCATGGTAAATAACTGCAGTGTAAAATTACCTAGGTGCTGAAACAGATCATTTTCTCACTAACAGAAAGATGTAAAAGGCTGGTCAACCTTGAAGCTCTGAAAGGTCAGAGCCAACCACTCCCTATCTAATTGAGACAATGGTAACTGAGGCAACTTCCCATGTAAATCCTTGCTGATATGATAATCTGCTTATTACCTGCCTAAGGGCTATGGGTGTATCCAAAACCTGCTTAAGGGTAATGGGTGTATCCCATCCTATATAATAAAAGCATAATATGCAAATCAACCAGACAGGTTGCTATGATGGGCACTGACCACCAGGGGGCACTCAACACAGGAGCTGTCCCATGATGGTCAGTGCACTCTCACAGGGGGAGTGCCACTGAGCCAGAAGCCTGACTTATGACTGGCAAGAGCAGTAAGGTGCAAAAGCCTCTCCCACCTCCGCTCCAGGAGGGTGGTAAGGAGTGAGGGGTCCCAGACTGCAAGAGGGATGTCTGATTGCTGGCTTAGGCCAGATCCCCAGGATTGGAAGAGGGCATAGGCTGGGCTGAGAGACCCACCCTCAGTGCACGGATCTTGTGCACCAGGCCTCTAGTAGTCTCAATAAAAGGGATAGTAAGGCCAGAGCCTAGCAGTAGTCCTCCCCCTAAAGGTGGACTCCCGCCTGGCCCCCCATTTTTCCCAAATTAACTTTTTTTCCAGTCTCTTTTCATTTGTATGACGCCTTCTCCAGAAATCAGACTCTGAACAGGAATCCTGAACTATGCAGGATGTGATAAGGGATCCCACATCCAGGAAGCAAAATAGTTTGAAGACTATGACACATGCTCATCATATTTTTAACTAGAGGCACAAAAACAGTGCACTCAGGGGAGGGTTTCCTCATCCAGCCTGCACCCTCTCACAATCTGGGAGCTGTCGGAGGATGTCCAACTGCAGTCAGACATCCTTAGCGTTGCCATGGAGACCCAAGAGGCTCTCTTCATTGGGTATCTACCTCCTGGTGGTCAGTGCACATCACAGCGACCAGTCATCCTGCCATTTAGTTGATTTGCACATTAGCCTTTTAATACATATGATTAGTAGACTAAAATAATAAAAAATAAATATAATTCACTAATTTTTCAATTTTTATCATAGTTGCTGACTATAATGCTCATATAATATTGTGCAAAGTAGAACATTTTTAAAGGAAAGGGAACATAGTAACAATTAAGTAAGGTAAGAGTTGTGAGCCAGAATAATTCTGGGCAAACTGAGGAGTAGTATGGTATTTTGAAATTTGACTATGCATTTATATATAAAACTTATTTTTCTTTTGATAATGTAAAAAAAAAAGCTTTATTTCTAGAAATAAACATGGCAGAAAAAAGATTAGAAAATTATTTTAGAAAATAAAATTGTGCTAATTGGGGTGACTATGATGGTTAATTTTATGTGTCAACTTGACTGCATCAGGGGAAGCCCTGATATTTGTCCACACATATCTACAAGTATTTCTGTAAGAGTGCTTTTGGGAAAGATTAATACTTATTTTTTATTTTTTATTCAGTTTACTTTCAATATTGTTTTGTATTGGTTTAAAGTGTACACCATAGTGGTTATACAATCATGTACTTTACAAAGTGTTCCCCTGATATTTCCAGTGCCTACCTACCACCATACATTGTTATCACAATATAATTGACTATCATCCCAATGCTATATTTTACATACTTGTGACTATTTTCTAACAATCAATTCATACTTCTTAATCTGGAGGATATTAATATTCAAATTGTAGATTTAATACAGCTAAATGCAGGTGGGTCTTATCTAATGTTTGAATAGAATTAAAAAAGAAAAAAACAAAAAGAAAGCTGATCCTCTCCCAAGTAGGAAATTATCTCTCCTATCAGATGGCTGCAAGTTAAAGCACTGGCTTTTTTTGGGCCTTTAGGCTTGACCTGAAAAGTCATAGGTCTTGAGCCTGCTGGCCTTCAGACTGAAAAGACATCAATTCTGGTTCTCAGGTTTTTGAATTCAGAATGAAACTAAATAATTGTCCTTTTGGTCTCTTGCTTGCTGACTTCTTGGCCTGAAGATCTGGAGACTTGCCAGCCTGCATAATTGTGTGAGCCAATTCCATGTGTGTGTGTGTGTGTGTGTGTGATTATCTGGTTAGTTCTGTTTCTCTGGAGAATCCTAGCTAAAAGAGAAAGGACATTAAAAAAAAAAAAAAAAAAAAAAAAAAAAAAAAAAAAAAAAAAAAAGAAGTGTGTTATTGAGCAGATTACACCAGGGGCACCTAGGGTTCAGTCTTGCTGTGGAACTCTGAGAAATAATGTAGGGCATGCATCACACTTTTTTTCCAAGATGAGCAGGACATGGGAGTATTTAGGGAATATTTCCCAGTTCCCATTAGTGTTCAGTGGAGGATTGCCCTGGAGGGAGGAGCTCCCTGGCACTCCTGGTGGACTTGGTGCAAAGCAATGGTGCGTGTCAAAGGAACACGGGGAAGTGTCTGTTCCAGTGAAGTGAAATATATAGTGGCAGGTAGCTATCAGAATAGAGGAAAACAGCATATGGTTCGATTTCTCTTAGCTCTGTCCCTTCTATATAATTTAAATAGTTATCATCAGAGGTGAGAATGTGTATAACAAGTAGTACTCTGAAGTGTGGATCAGCATTCCCTTTAGATTCAAAATACAAGATTCAGTTATAAGGAGATGCCAAAGCAGATAATATGCTTAACATGTATTTCTATGAAATGTTTATGAAGGCCACCAAATAACCCCTAAGTTACCAAAATTAAGAAATATAATAGAGTACTCTTTTATTTTACATCAGAATGTTGGTATGAAATAAAATGTTGATTATACTTAGATGTTGATTAAACTCTTTTATTAAGGATTATCTTTAGATTTATCTCACATTCCACAACCTTACCCATCCGCAACATTTCTGATTCAACTCACATTTCTAGTTGCTCTTTCTCAGCTTCTGTGTAGTTGTCTTCTTATATTCACCTTTAGATACTGAGATCACTGAGAATGGTGTTAACAATCTGTTGTCACATAATTCTCTCTAGTTTCAGTTTCTATCTACTCACCACTCACTCCCAAGTTTATATCCCAGAGCAGTTCTGTACTACACACTACACTTATGTGTATGGAGCACCTATTTGACATGTCCGTTTGGATGCCTGACAGACACAGCACATTTGAACTCAAAAATGAACTCAAAGCCCATAACCCTCCCCATATAGTTCTGTTCCAGGAATCTCTATTCCCAAAGACACCACCAACCTCTATTCAGCTATATACACTAGATACCTCTTGTTTCCTTATCTTTTCTAAATCAACCAACTAATCACATCTGGTTGACATACCTCCTAAATAATTTTCAAGCCTCATTTCTTTTTTGGTTGCTTCATAGCCACTTCTTTGATCTACTTTACTATAATAGTGAAAGGTCCCCTTGTACCAATTTTTCACCGCTCATACTTCTAGAACTAAACAAACTTGTCTTCTCAAACTATGACTCTGATCACATCAATTTTCTGGTTGACAGCTTGTGTGGTTATATCTGATTTTAAGATTCCAAGCAAAATAACTAGTTTAGCCTTGCTAAGGATTATTCATTACCCAAATATTTGGTCAGATACCTCTGCTACAAGTTCTCTTTTTCACCTTGTGTAAT